CTATACGGAAGCCCGTCGAACATGGTAGCCGGTAGCAAGTACCAAGGCCGCGAAGAAGAAGCAACAGCGGCGGGAGCAGAAAAAGAAAGATTCATTAATTATTCCTCAAACCCAAATTGAAAAAGGGAGTCATAAAAAGCAGAGGCCATGAGGCCTACAGTTTGCTTTACTATTTACACGCAGGTAAACCAAAGTGCAGAAAGCGACACACTACTGCTACTGCTGCTGTTGCCCTCGGTAGAGCTCGCGGAAGCACTCAGATGTCGGGCAATAGCCCAGGTTAGCTGTTTAGGTCGCAGTAATCCGAAACTGGGCAACACAAATCCAAAGGCTGAAGTCGGATTGGCAAACTGAAGCAGGCCCCTGACTGAACAAATGAAATGTTAGAGACTTATTCGCTTCTTGCTTGTCAGGGCCTCCAAGGCTCCAAGAGTTGTAGTCACGTATATTTCCTCAGTTCGTTGTCGTGTTTACGTTAGGAAAGCACGAGCACTTCAGGCGTTCGCGACTGCTCAGATGACTATTGTAGTGATATAATGGTGACTGTAGCAATAACATCTCTCATTTGTTCGAAGTTAATAACATTAACTGAACAAAAGGCGCACGTAAAACGTACAGTAAACACTGAAGTGAGCAATCACACGTAAAAGTAAAGAATGGCTGACCCTTACCCCCTCCGGTTACTGCAAGTAATTGTGGCGGCTTGTGAGGCACGTATTTCGCCTCTTCTTCTTTTCCTTCACGCCCTCCCCGGCAGCTGCCATGACGGTTGCTATCCATACGAAATGCACGAGCAGCGTTCATCAGAATTCACAGCGACGTTTGTAGAGAATAAACAGAATTCGCGTCAAACATCAACAACGATGGTGGCAGCAATGTGAGGAAGGTATAGGAGGGACACACCAATCTCTTGCCCGGTTTACACACACGTTAACTGAAGAGCCGGCGAGCTTGTCTGTGACTCACAGGAACTACAAAGCACGGTTATCTAGTACCACGACTAGCAATACTACTAATGATTTATATTACTGCTAGAGTTGCCTCTTATAGGGGAGAAAAAGAAGAAGATAGATAAGGGTAGAAAGCTTAGGCGATTGTGTAGATGTTTTGTGCTTGGCAGAAGCGCGAATCAAAGTGAAGAGTGCGAAAAGAGGCCAAAGGTAAGCGGGGACGGAAACGCATGCAGGACAACGACTTTCGACAGCGCTGCATTCTGCTGCTGGGAGATATTTAATATTTAGATAAACTATTTGTTCCAATGGTCGAATGATTGATGTGTGTCACTAATTCGGGCGATTTACAGTGTGGTACACTTTTGGAGCACAGGCGATAATAAACAATTTATTGGTCATTAGTGCCGGTGTTAAACGATATGCGTATAACCTTGTTGCTTGGTAAACAAAGAAATTAGGTGATTACAGTAACATTACAAAAACAATTACGTTTTGTTCGCGGCGCCTAAGTACTTTTTACAAACAAATTATACTAGTAAAAGGAAGCGGTTTGTCTACCGCTCAAAAACGGGAAGCGATGCGAAGATGTTACCCTAATAGCATATGAATAACGTGCGAGATTTTCAGGATACTTGTCAGTAAGTTCAGAAGGTACTGCTGATTAGCAGTTCGTAAGATACGAGCGCTTAAACACACTTTAAAAACGATAGTAGCAAACCATCGAATTTGAATCGTCATTGCCAAACGATATGCAGCTTTCACTTTTGCCAACGAATTCTCTCACTGACCACCTCAATCGCTGCAGGATCAGCACCAGGTAAGCTTATCATGGTTTGCGCTAAATATCGTATCAATATCGTCGTCTCTCGGTATATTATTTCGCCATTCAACGTATATGATCCTTATTAACAAGCGCTTTTTACTTTCTGTGCGTATCGTAGCCAACGTTAACAGCCAGCCAGCCAGCCAGCCAGCCAGCCAGCCTGTTGCAGCCTTCAACAACAATGTGCCCCTTTTGGCTTTCTCCCTTCAGTCGCCGTTGAGGTCTGGAAATACGTGCATGTCAGCAGCGATGCAACTCAGCTACAGACCTTTGTTAGTCGGTATAACGTCGAAGCCTGCAAAAAATTTTTGTTACCCATTTCACTGCGAATAGACTCTGCCTTACTTCATCATTCTTTACTCGCGCTTTTCTTTTTCGCATTGTTTAGGCATCTACAATTTTTCTTTGGCCCGACTCGACTTTTCACGAGATCGCTTCTTGTATTAGGCCATGTTCTGTTGTTCCTTAGCTATAGCTAACCGCGACAAGCTATTGTTCTGTCGTTTGTTTCGACGCCAAGCGCAATCGAAAGGCGGATAATAAAAAAAACGGAGAGCAATTTGGGAATGGCTGTTCGGTTGTTATCGTTTATATATATATATATAGCCCCTCTCTTGTTCATTCCTTCCTTTTCACCTAGTTCCGTGTTTTCTCTCAATCAGTCTCACTCGGCAAGCGGCATAAATCGCGCTGCGTCTGTCTGTCGTGATCCAGTCGTCAAACCACAGCTCATTGGTCTCGATGCAGCGGTGAGCTAAGGCTTCCGCAATGAGAGCACTACTTGGCAAAGTAATCGATTGGCTGGCACTTTTAGTTGCGGGCTACTACCATCGAACCCCAAACGAATAAGATCATGAGAGAAAGAGATTTAGAGGCTAGTTGGAGGTCAAGGGACAAAAAAAGCGGGAACTTAACTTCACTGTTTTTCTACTTCTGCCTGTTCTTTGTTCTTTTTTTTGCTTGTTTTCGATTTCTGCAACGCGGTTCCACCTTTGTGCAGACTAAACGAAGCTGGAAGATGTAAGCATAGGTGACGGCCGGGAACTTGATGAGATTGGAAAATATAAGCGGAAAAACATGTCGCTTCTTAAAATCGAACTACTTGCTTGTAGTGTGCGCCATAACAAGTAGGGAAAACAAAGGGACGACAAATTTATGTTTAAAGTATTTAAAGAAAGGTCAAATGGGGACGACTTCGTGGTGTCAGCGAATGGGTGCGAGGACAAATCGTCGATCAGTAGTTTGCGACCATAATGGAAACCACCAAAATTTCAAAAAGGTCAACTACCTTGTTTATTGAATGAGACGACAGTTGGTAAGCCAGCTGAATCGATTGAAAGGTCAACCTAACTGAAGTTATACGAAGGAAATGTTTTTACACTCCAAAGAAGAGACAGGTTTTTTAGGTTTCGTCTACTTTACTTTGGGTAATTATAATAAAGCTAAGGTGGAACGTTCCTATGTGCGCCTCTTGCAAACTATACGCTTCCTTTTATTGAAGCCATGCATTAGGAGCCATCATACAAGCTAGATACCTCTGTTTAATTCGATAGCACTCACTTTCGACTGAAATGCATTCCCAAGACCAAATTAATCTGCAGACAATGTATGCTAGCACAAATTGCGTCTACTTCATATGTATAGACAGAAACTAATGAAAACGACAACGTTAGTTGTATGCGTTTTCTAGATTTTACTCTGTTTTGCCCCATTGCTTCTTTTTAGGCGATCATGAATCGACGACGAAATTTGCCATGGTCCTCAAACGTCTTGCCCCAGCCTTACGTTACGTGTTGCTGTGTTCGTCATTTTTCCTCTTGTAATTCCACTGATACCCAACTTTGTGGCTGCATGTACTCCGTCGGGGCGTATTTAGCAGGCACCGTAATCCAAATCCATCAAATGTCATAATCCGAATGGCACATTTACCATTACCAGTACTCGAAACTCAGTAGCTATCTGAATGTATGGGTCGTATAACACTCACCTTTACCGAAAGAGCCTCTGGTATGCGTGCGTGCCATCATAGGTCACATGCATTTGTATGGAGCCTAATTCCCTTTGTAGTAAATGTTATTACTTTCCTTGTACAAAAAAGCTGTTATTGTTATTAAATTTCATCATCGTCGAATAGCGGAATAATTTTGGTAGATAAAATGACTCAGTTTAATAACACACATTTTTCACATCGCGTCATTGTTAATTAGATACCAAAATCTTGTTAGTATTCATGGCATCGTTCGCAACTATCGTACTGTGCACGCAATCCATTGAGTCGTCATAAGTAGGCTGATCTAACGCTGATGCAGATCTAAGCTGGGGCGTCATTGGGACTGACCCACCGGAATTCGCCGGAGAGCTGCGAAAGGCACTGCTCTGTTATTGTTGTTGTGAACGTAACGATCGTTGATAATAACACCTGCTGCCGACACGGCGCACTTTCACGTTAAGGAAATAAACCGTAGCTCACACAGTATCGTCAAGCAAACACATACTCATTGTAGACGCTGTAATAGAAGTAGCCATATTTGATTCTATTACATACTATTACTACGACTGTTGTATAATTGCTATTACCATACCCCAAGCATCATTTATTATTGGGTGATTGGCACTCACACTGGAACAGGAAGCCACAAATGGTTGAAGATTGTGTACAGTTGTGAACTGAGATGTGCGCTTGGTTGACTTGGGTTGGGCTGTTCGTACATGCACTTGCTAAAAAAACCAGCTTATTTAGACAACACGAACCGACCACAGACTCTTGTTACGATAGCGTTTAGGTACGTTTTGGGTACGTTCAGTTGCGTTTTACCGTGCCGTCTGAGTCGATCCGGCGACATTCGACATTCGCCCTGTACACGCATTTTTGCCGTACAAAAACTGTTGTTTGTACACTTTCTGTACACTGTACATAGTGGCGCATAATGGTGTACGCGCGTCGAGAATATTTGTCGTCGGAAGCTCGATCACGTAATTACACGGTAGCATAACGTTGCCCTGCTATATCTCATAAGTTCAGTTTCCGTGTGTTGCGTCCGCTTGACGCAGCACATCTGATCTGCCGCATGACGGCAGCAGAAACAATGATGGACTCTGCTGTGGAGTTTTTATAGAACTAATCTTTTCTCGGCGGCCCACCGATGCAGGTTACAATTGTCGAGATGCTGTCCAATGCTTTGGCGACGTTCGAACCGGGTTCAACCGGCGGGCCGGGCGAAGACTCAGCTGGGCACGTTGTGTAGCGCATGGCCGCTGCTGTTTCTAGTCGAGCTTGTGCTGTTACTCGAGCTGTTATTGTCGTTGGTGGTGTTAGCAGACGTATTGATACCGCTTCCACTGCTATTGTTGTTCGTGCTACCTGAAGATGGATGCCCAACGGCCGTCGAAGACATTGACTGGCTCGCTCCTACTGAGCTGGCTGTCATTGAGCTCGCCGCATTCGGGCTTATTCCGTCGATTGTTTCAGTTCGCATAGCGGTCAACGATGCGCACATCAGGGGCGAGACGGATCGTCCCCCGCCGCCAACGGCTGCACTGACACCTACTCCGCTACTTGGTGCCACTGCAAACACCGGCGAACTCTCTTCCAGCAAGTTCGACATGCAGGAGTTTGTTTGACTGTTAGCTTGGTTGTTTGAGAACAATTGATTGATCTGGTTGGGTTCGTTGATCGTTTGATGGGATGGGGCAGTAGCCGATGGCAGCTTGCCATTAAGGGTCCGAGAGCTTTCGGTGGCAGCTTGGCGTAACAGGGGAAAACGTCCGTCGAAAGATGATGTAGACGACGAATTGTTGCTCTGCAGTTGCGTCAGTGGCTGACTGATTTGTTGGAGTGGATGCTGAAGAGGATGTGATATCTGTTCCTGTTGTTCAGGTATTCCAGGCGTTAATGTAGGCGTCAATACGCCAGTCGATGTCGTTACGTCGCCGAGCTCTGTGGACCCACTTACTGAAGACCGCAATACTTCACTGGGCTTGCTTTGATAGCTGCTGGCACCTCCGCTGTGTCCACCACAAGGTGCACCCAGTCCGATGGCAGCTATTGGTAACAGGGGAACTCCGCGGCTCCCGACCGGGATTCCTCCTCCGAGACTTCCTGGCGTCGAATCGGCCGTCGCTGGAGAGTCATCATCTGCCAGCAACGGGGTTACTTCTTGCGAGTCCTCAGTGCTCGTGGCTTTGCTGCTGCCCACCTTATTTACCGAGCTATTAAACGAAGTCCGTTTAATACCTCCCTTAGAAAAATCCCGTAACACGATGACGTCAGCAGTGTTATTGCTTGCGGCCAGGTCGTTGTCACTGGTTGATATCGACGACAGTCCATCACTTTCCATCGAGGCGAACAACTTGGAGGACAGCTGCATCCGCAGTGAAACCGGCAATCGGCTGAGGTACATGTCGAGATGGAGGCCCGAGGACGCGGAGGCCGATCGACTCATGTAGAATGACTTAGACGACGAAGGCGTGTCACAGCCGTCCGGGTCAAGTATTTGCAGATCCGTGGGCGAAGGTATAAACGTCGCCTCGTACTGGGGACTAAGAAGAAAATTCGTGCAAGTCGAAGATGTTGAGAGCGACGGAGCGGGGCGCATCTTGAATGGGGGAGTAGCCCCTGTTCGCATGTGCAACGGAGCGAAGCTTAAAGAACTCGGTGGAGCGCCGCTGTAATTGCTGCTGCTGTTGCTGCTACTATACGGCGAAGCCTGACCTGCGACATGCGAGCTCCGGCCGGCGCCTCCCGACGACAGCCCGGGGAGATGTGTATTGTAGCTGTGGTAACCGCCGCCGTAATGGCGATATTGTTGATGCCCTAATGATGGATGATTGACGCTTGGTGTACTCCCAGCTCCGCTGGCGCTCACAGCGTTATAGCTGTTGTGCGGGCTGGCCGACTGGGGTAGACCGCTGCCGATTGCGCCACCTATGCCACCGGCACCCACGTTACCGCTGATCGAGCAGGTCCACACTCCCGAGGAGCCGAGGATCGGGGGTAGCGACAGATTTGACGCCGGAGTGGAACAGCCTGATCCGGAGCCCGTGTCGCCGAGCACCGCGGCCGACTGTGCCGAGTCCGCGAGATATCGTTCCGGATAGTCGGGATAGGCGCGGTAGTCCGGATGTACCGGGTCTGGGTATTCCGCAAACGCACCATCGGATTCAGCCGCCAAACTGGCCAGCTGCGGCGAAGGGCCTGAACGGCCGGCCGCGGTCGAGGCAGGTTTACTGGCCATACTGCTGCTGCTGTTCATTGTTACGCTGCTGCTTCTTTTGTTAGTAGAATAATTAGAATTATAATTATTATTAGTCGACTTGTCGGTGCTCACGCCGGCGCGGTGAGTTTCCGATGATCTTACAGGCACTATGGTAGTCTTGGACCCTGCCACCACTGACGACTTTCGCCTGCCATCTCCTGCCACACCGGAATTCGAATTTCTACTGTGTTGTTGCAATAGTAGATTTTGCTGCTGCTGGTGAAGATTACTGCTACTATTCGAAGTACACCTGTTACTATTACTAGGGTAACTGTTGCTAGGATAATTACTATTACTTTTTTTGCGGTCGTCATTATGGCTATCCACGTTGTGGCTATGTATTCCCGTTAGGATTGTTGTTGTTTTTGCCGTAATTGCAGTACTACTGTTCAAACTGAACGCCGACACCATTGAACTAATGGCAGGTAACACAGTTGTTGGCGATGAATTACTGCTTGAATTTGTCGCATTAGTAATGGGCATGATAGTGGTAGTACTATTATGAATATTCGTAGTTATTAGTTGATTCATGTTATTAGAATGACAATGCGGGTTGCTTGCAGCATTGACGCCACTAATTGGAGGCGAGGACCAAGGATCCTTGGCTCCATGGGCCGCTGCAGTTACTGTGGCCGCTACTAAATCATTGGTCTCATTATTATCAGCTATCGCCTGTCTTATCGTCGTCGCACTGATGCTGCCGTTACTGTTGCTACGTAATGTGGCGGGGGCGGCGTTGCTACCCCCAGCGACGGTGGGGGCGGCGTCCGGCGTTTGACCAGCGGCCGCCTGTGCGTCGACGGGCGGTTTCGGTTTACGCCTACCCTTGGGCGGCAGTGGTAGTATCGGAACTAATGCCTCTCCAATAGACGGTCTCTTTTCGTCCACAGGAACTACCCTGTGGTGGTGGTCTTTCACTCCGAAGGTTAGAACACACGCGGCCACAATACAGATGCCGCCCAGGCCCATGATTGCAGGCCCAGCGAATGACAAGTTGTGCAGATGGTACTCCATCGAACGATTGACCGTGGTGCTTGTCTCATTGTTAACGTTGTCAATCACGATGACAGTGGTCGACAGTTGCTCGGCAAGGAAACCCACTACACACATAGCCGTCCCAATGGCGATTAAAAGCACTCCCGGCGTGAGAGCCTTGGCGAACTTCCACACGCAGCCGAGTGACACGTATGCGGGAATTAGACTATGTTGCTTATCCTCGTCGTCCTGTGCCTTGTTGGCATTGCTGTCCTTGTGAGGCGATGAGCCGATGGCGGCGCCAGTCACAGAAGTAGGCAAGGGTCCGAGGTTCACATGGGATGGCGCCCGAGGTCTGCCCGGCACAGCGAGGGGCCCTGGCGCCCTATTCTGTTGGCGTAACTGGCGGCCGATGACAGCCGCGCTATTCATTCCGGAAAGGAAATCCCAGCAACGAGTGGCTCGTTGGCGAGGTCGGGGCGCGTCTTGGGCGCGTTTGGCGCCCGAAGCGGCCTGGCTCAGCCGCAGGCACCCCGACTGCCCGCCGTCATCGACCCCGTAGCTCCTTCGTCCCCCCTTCCTGACTAGTACTAGTTAGTAAAAGTAGTAGTTAGGACTAGTGCTTGAAGTTGTTTGTAGTAGTTAACCTGTTGTTGCTTTCGTTGTTGTTTCGGTGGTTGCTATTGTTGTTGATTCTAGTTGTAGTATCGATAGGTCGTTGTTTACTTACTTCTTCTTCTTCTTTTTGTAGTTGTAGAAGTTGTTCTTCTTGGTTTGTTGATGTTGCTAATTTTCTTGTTGGTGTTGATGTTGTTTATTTTTAATTTTAGGTGCACCTAGCTTGCTACGGCCTGAGGCTGATGTACTTCCTACCGGCCTGAAGCCAACTAACTAGGTTACACTGCTCGGCCTAGGCTGGGGCCTGCTCTAGCCAGCCGTTCGCCTAGGCGAGCTCGACGCAACGCTCTGCGGCAGGCGGTCGCATTGCAACCCGAAAGCCCCTGTTAGCGACGCCACGCCGGCGCTCTCTCCCCCTCGGCCTCGCCCGTTTGCCCTCGCCCAATGTCCCCAAAAGTCTCCTGAAAAGCCCCCAAATGAAATCCCACGCTTTCCCCCAATGAAGGCTCTAGCTTTACTTACCCACCTAAACGTCCTTTCTCTACAGAAGTCCCACAGCCAATGCTGGTGCTATTCACAAGGCCCTGCTTCTAAGAGGTCTGGCCGCCCCACAATAGTGGTAATGGTAGCGGCGGTGGTGGTTTATCACCTCTCCCTCATTTCCCGTGCTTTTTCCCTTCCCTCCTTGCGAACCCAGGGCGAAGAGCCCTGGCAGGGCTTGCCAGGCAGGGTGAAGGCAGCTTGCCTGCCTTGTGAGCAGCGTCGAATCGACCGAGCCACCAAACCCTGCTGCTGTGTTAGAGATGGTCGCCGACTAGAACCACTCGGCCGAAGGCGGGGGCGCATGCGTACCGACAATCCCCTATCGCACTATCACTCTGGTGTGTGCTGTTGGTGGCTCCAGGCCATTCCTTTCCCACTTCTGGATCACGTATTGCCCCACTCCCCGCCCCGTATATAGACATCAGAGCACCCATGCCGTCAGCCAGAAGACTCCCCATAACCCCGATATTCCAGCTGCCTGCTGCCGATCTACCCAGCTGCTGGCTTTACTAGTTGTGCAAGCAGCGGTACCAGCATCGGCAGAAGCCCTCAGGGAACCCCATACACCGGAGGTGATGATGGCAATGGCGGTGGGTGCAGGGGCAACTACAGCATTATCATCAGTAGCATCAACGGCGCAGCATTGGTAGCAGCGGCCACAATAAAAAAAGTAGTACCTCCTATTTTTCAAATAATGTCACAAGGCGTTATGAGAGTTGTCGGGGGACTTCCAGCAGTGAGAAGGCACGGGCGGGTAGCAATGGCTGTCACTCGTTGGTCGCTCGCATTCTTCTATCTGCCGGAAGCCCAACTTGAGTCGAAGTCAGCAATCAATTGAGCACGCAGCCGATGCAGCGGACCAGTAGGACACGCATCCGTGCATCGGTAGAGGAAGTTATCCTGCAGGGCTTGCTAAAAGAGGCCCACGCGAGCCATTTGTCATTGTCGTCTCGGTTAAGTCCTCCGCTCCAAAGAACCAGTAGACAAAGCAAGTTTCATGCGTCAGCTAAACTGGTCGGCAGTCGCCGCATGGGTAACGCATCCTGATCCGGGTACCTGTCGACCCTCTTCGCTGCTAGTGACACGTTTTCTTGCATAGAGTTGCATGACCTCGATAATGAGAGAAAAAAATAAAGGAGCTCATATAATTATCCTTTGTTCGAGTGTTTGAATAATATACGGTTGTAACACATGCGAAATTTTGAAATGTTACTAGTAACAACGACTCGACTCGGAAGGACTTCCTGTTCTTGGGATTAGCCGATTATGGAATATAATCGAAATGGTCCCTTTCCATTTTCCAGAAAGCGAGAAAGGCTTCGAGTGTAACAATCATATGCCGCACTCACTATCTGCGGAACAACCAACCAGGTGGACTACGTTGCTTTCGGCGCAGTCAGCTACAAGGAGTTGCCAATGATATGATTTTGTTTGAATTGCAGGTTTTTTATAATGTGAGGGTGACGTAAACTATCCTCTGTACCTCCGGTCTCGTAACCTTGTCCGGTTCAAACTGTAGAACCTGTTATCACACGTCGATGATTCGAGGGCCATGAGCATCTAGGATGACGTAACATCTGAAATCTGAAGTACGAAGAAAATTCGAATCGATATAATGTAAAAGTGCCTAAAAAATTGTATTGTTAATTTTTCGTACAGATAAATCAAACACCTTATTAACATTTCGTATAACAGTTGCTGGTGGCATCGTTCTTAATGTTTCATGAAATTATTTTAAATTGAAGATTTATTCATGTGCTACTCATGTAGTGTCAGAAATCAGCAACTAGATACAGAACAGCGATCGAAAATTGCTTAAGTCAAGCTAATCTCACACATCCCGTAAGTAAATCCACAAATATATCCATATCAATTTCAAGTACCAAAGAAACGCATTAGAAGAAAAACAATATCTAAAAACAGATGCGACAAGAACAGTGTAAGACCCAACCATATAAAGCAAGACATTGTCATGTGGGAAATTTCTGAGACTTCATTTTATTATATCTAAATCCCTCTTCCAATGCTTCGAACGTTCATGATGTGTATGCACGTTGAAGCCAAGTGACCAGGGGCTACTGCTTCTCCCACGCGTCAAGACAGCGTCACTTGACAGAGCTCATTTCCGACGACGGCCTTTTAGAGCCTCCACCCCGTTCTGGTGGCGTTGCCTCGAATATGCGTATTGAAAAAAATCGCTACGAACAGACAAAAATTCAGTGTTATCGAGTCAAGTATAGAGGTCGTGGCTCTGGGTGACAACGACCATGCTGTGCATAACAAGGTGCCCGCTGTTTAGAAATATGAGCTAAAAAACCAAGGCCAGATAGTTTACTCAGCTTAAAGAGTACTGATAGCATGACGACCGTTTACGATGGAGAATCGAGACTCAGTGCACTCACATGTTATTAGGTAGATGTTTTTCTTAATTTCTGCAGCTGACTGCAGACATAATGAGTACTAAAAAAATAGTTACTTCTTTTGCGCAAGTATTTTAATTATTTCACATTTAAGCTTTTATGAAATAACTAAAATATGCCCAGCATTCATTATTATCTAAATGTGTAAGGCACTCTTTCCTCACAAAATAACAATGTCATTGTGCTTGTAAGTACATTTGGCTTTTGCATTCCTTATCTGTATTCGCAAAAAATATTATATATATATATATATATTAGAAAGTGGTTCGTGCAATTCTAGTACTACATACTATTTCATGATACCATCTAGCGTCGAATAAAAAAGAGCTGATTTTCAAGGTTACTGGCAAATACTCTTTCGTAGGTCTGTCGGAGCTCTTAATCCCGTCCAATTAAAGGTACTATAATTAATCTGTTTCATATCTTTGATTTCAGTGATGCCGGCGTTCGTCGTGCAGATCCGTTTTCTGCATTTGGGCCCTTTTACATCGCCCGACCTATTTTACGCTGCTTCACATTTCAAGACATTTCGACATCGGCCGTAGAAGCCGAATAAGCCTTGTCCAACTAAGCTGGCCCAGCTTGCCTTAATATGACAGGCTCTTTAAGTGTAACAAGCGTACTTGCCTAAACATTATTGTACCATAAAGAATCGTTTCTTCGTGTCCGATGTGTTAGAGTACATGGAATGGGTCCTGTGAGGCAACTGCGTCTTTATCTCTTGACTAAAGTTTGTGTGCAGGAGGTCCATGACATGACTCTGTGAAAAGGATCCAGTTCAGCCCAAGCGGTCGGAGAGACAAGGTCAACGTCACCTTCAGACCCTACCCAGTGAATCCTACTGTGTGCTATGACACTGGAGATAATAACAGTAATTGTAATCGTAGGAAATAGAAAATAGATAGCAACGCAGAATTTACATGGAGCGATAAAGAAACAGAAATCTCCGTTGAGAAAGGCCGCAAATTAGTCAACTGGAAAAGGAAAAGCTCATGGCGGGTTGTTGCAACGTATGCCCACATCAATACCAGCCAGCCCAGACGCTTGCGTAAGAGCCATTTCATTAGGTGTATATGCGTGCATGGTCACCGCGTCTACCATTTTGTTGCTTCTGCTAATGTTCGTACGGAAGCTGTCGTGCACCGTATATTATAACGGCATAGGCGGTGTAACGGCTTGCAAGAACCTGGGGTTTCGGTTTTCCTTTCGAAAGTATGTTTCGACATATTCGCGCAGAGTTAGGCAGTGCTTGTATGTCAAACCCACAAAGCATCATTTGAATCCCCACCCGTATCCTCATCCTATTCGTTTCTGGCAGGAATAGCAAGTCGTTTAATTGAACTCAAGCGACTATAGAAACGCTCCTGTTGACATGACCATGTTAGATATGGATGGCCGGTTATGACATAATCACATCGACCTGCCTGAAAAGAGGCTAACGCTAGCAGTTCCTCAGTCGTTATTATGGCCACTAGTCAAACCTAGCTCAAAAACCATATACAAGTTACCGTGTGCAGGAATTGAGTGGCCATCGTAGTGTCGGCGGTGGGTTCGGATCAAGACCACGATAAGTATATGTATCATAACCTGATCCGAGTGAAGAGACTCGATAGGTCGCCTGCCCGGCCAATGATACCCAGGCAGCAGTACGTCTTTGCGAATAACGGAAAATTGAGTTGTATTGAGGTGGCGGACAAGAATCTACGCAGCTTGCCAAGTAGGCCCCCACTTTCCGTCCCTAAAGCAAGATCCTTTGAAGGCAAGACCACTAGGGAAGAAAAGGAGATCAAGAAAGACAGGGATTCGATGCACAACATCAGAACTACGAAGGCCTAGGAACTTTCTAGCATGTACCGTGTTACTTACTTCGCTACTGTTAACCCGACAGTAATCCTTCTGTTGCGGCTATAGCAACCAGTTCTGCAGCAGTAGGCGAAATAATAATAGAAACGGCCAACCAGTGAGTACCGCCTTACCTTCTATTGCCCTTTGACCGCTTGTTGGCCCAGGTAGCTCGTCGGCTTTGAACGTCTGATAAATGAAACGGCACCGTTGACATTCGCAAATACTTAATAATTCCACAATTTCGAAAACGACCGACCGCGCGGCCGCCCTGCCGCCTCAATCTGGCTTTACAGTACCCTTTGTGTCTTCGTTTGCGCTTGACGTTTTCAGGCAGGCGCCTACTCGAGAGCGAAGCTAGTTATGGAGCAAGCAAGAGGGCAGCCAATCAGTTTGCTTACTTGAAAAGAGATCAGTTCAGGTCGATATGAGCTTAGCCCGCTACATCCTTCATGGTCATTACCACCTTTCTCGTTCGTGAGCGCATCTGGCCCGGCCCATGTCACTCCAGACTAGCAACCCCCGTAGAAGGGGGCAAACAGAGTTTTAGGGAAACTGGCTTACCTTACTACTTCAGATGCTGTCAGTACTAAAAGATGACGGTCATTGATCGACCGCTCTGTTGATGACGAAGACGTGGATTATAATTGCACTCACACAAGGTCCCGTCTCATACAAGGTACTCAATGTCTGCTCGATAGAGGAGGCGATAGAACAGAAATCTTTTGATCTCTCGCCTGGTTCAGGTTCGCACATCATCAGGGCTTTCGAAAGAACATCGTCTGTAACCCTCGATGTTGTTATCAGCGCGCTTTAACGCGAGGTGTCGATCGAGGCAGATACCCGACGAGAGTTATCGTCGTCTGATATAAGCGGCACAAAGGTTCTATCAGAAGCCTACGCTGGCACAGGGTGGGGCCTAAGGTGGAAAACTGCTGCTAAGTTCCTACATGTTAGTCCGTTTCATGATCGAAAATGCATTTGGACGACGATTTTCGCCCCGAACGAGTGTCACTCACGCTGGCATTGTGCAATGCGGGTGCACGTAAGCACTACGTAGCAGGAAAGCAGCATCTAAATACAGTAATACGCAACGCGTCTAACACTCAAAGCTTTATGAGGCTTTTATCCGACCCTTTGGCAACAGCCACTATGTGTTACTGGCTAGGGTAACGGCCCAAGTCTTTCAATGAAGT